GTAACCTTCTCCCAAACTCTGAAATGGTGCAACCTGTTCTTCATAATTGTTCCTGATATTTGGGGAAATTCTGCCTTTAATTAGTAGAAAATATTGCACAGAGAGCAATGTGTCCAGTTTCTGTTTGTGCTTTCCTTTTTGGAAAAAAAAAGGAACTTGTTATTGGCTATAAACCTTGATAGGCAAATACTGCAGCATGATTACCAGATGCTCTGCGCATTCAAAAAAAACCAACAGCGTCAACCTTTTTCCAATGAATGACAGATGCAGCATTCAACATCATGCTACATTTTAATCTGGCAATGTCTTTTTTTATTGACACAGCGCAGTCGTTATCAACTTGAAATCACGCTTATGCTGAAATCAGAAACTTCTGTTTAGTTAAGAGAGCCAGCCAGCAATGCCCAGCCTGGCTGATCAAAACATTTCCGCATCAGTACGTCTGAACATACCTTTCTGCAAGGTGGCACAGAAAAGGGGAAATGTTTCTGTAGAACGTTTCCCCCAACCGGATTCTTTATTTTTGCAATGACCCTTAAAGAGAATTAAGCAATGCAATCAGACACTAACAATTCTGCAATAGTCACCATGACAATTCAGCTGGCCAAACTGATCTAGTTATTTGCCAGACCTACTCAGGATAGCTGAGCCAAGAGGCTACTGATGCAAGCCTGCAATGGGGAGATGAGGTCTCAAACAGTAGCCCCCAGATGTTCTTGGACTGTGACTCCTAGAAATCCTGACCAGCACAACATGTGGTGAAGGCTTCTGGGAATTAGTCCAAGAACATCTGGAGACCCAGGTTTGAGAACCACTGGTTACCAAAACTGATCTATTATGGTGATGGTTTCTATTTTTTAGATGTATTCTTTTAAAAACAAAAGACCCAAAACATTTGATAGCATTAAAATGTACATAAGTCAAAAGAAAGAATGAGGAACAGCTGAGATACTAGTTCCCTCTCTATTCAGCACTAGTTAGGCTTAATTGAGAGTCCTGTGTTCAATAATGGACATCACACAGTAAGAAGGATGCTAACAAACTGGAGCAAGTTCAGAGGAGGGGAACAAGGATAATCAGGGGACTGGAGAACAAGCCCTAGGAGGAAAGACTGAAAGAACTGGGCATGTTTAGCCTTGTAGGGAAATGTGATAGCACTTTCCAAATGCTTGAAAAGTTGTCATATAGAGAAGGGGCAGGATCTGTTCTCAATCATCCCGGAGTGCAGAACACACAACAATGGGCTCAAGTTAGAGGAAGCCAGATTTCGGCTGAATATCAGGAAAAACATCAACTGTTAGAACAGTACAACAACAGGACCAATGACCTCGGAAGGGGATGAGCACTCCAACGCTGGAGGCATTCAAGAGAAAATTGGCCAACCCTCTATCAGATCTGCTTTGATTTGGTTTCCTGCCTTGAGCAGGGGGTTGGACTGGATGGCCTTCGAGGCCCCCTTCCAACTCAATTTTGTTCTATGATTCTATGATCAATCTTGTGTTGCACAACAGAGGGTCAACACAATGAGGGGCCAGGAGGTCTCATGTCGAAAGGGCCTTGGTAGCTTTAGGATTAGAGGAGAAGAGGTAACCGGCAGGATTCTTGTGCCTGCAGAAGGACCAAGTCAACCCCAGAAACACCTGGACAGTAAGAATCCGTTTCTACTGGTAGTCCACCACATCTGGATAGCGCCCAGCTGGACGTGGCCAGTCCAGGGGTTCCCAGACTTGGGGATCCAGCTGTTCTTGGACTACATCTCGCCGAAATTCTAGCCACTGGCTGTTCTACTTTGGGTTTCTGGGAGATGTCATCCCAGAATCATTTGGGGCTCCAGTTTTTGGGAACCCCTGGTATAGACTTCAATTCATACCAAGGCTATTCCACACCAACAGCTCTGATGACTCTCTCTT